CTAAACCCTAAACCCTAAAGCCAGGAGGTTCCAAGAGTCTTGGGCGCTTGCGCCTCGAAGGAGGCTTGCCGGGGCTTCCGGATCACGGGCTTAGGGATTAGGGCTTTGGGTTTAGGGTTTAGGAATTGGGGGTTAAAGGTGTAGGGTTTAGGATTTAGGAATTGGGGTTAGGGGTGTAGGGATTAGGATTTAGGGTTTAGGGTTTAGGGTGTAGGGTTTAGGGGTTTCGGATACTTGCATGTTCTGATGGCTTGCAATTTATACTGCAAGTGGGGGTTGCCTTCTGTAACTGGGGCATACGGCCCCTGCAACCCAGTCTAGTTTGTGGCTTCCATACAAGGATGCTGATAAACCTTAAACCCAAGCTGCTCGGGTTTGGGTTTAGGGTTTAGGATGTAAAGTCTCTCTAGATGTATAGGGTCTTTAGCTGTTAGGGCTTTGGCTTCCCTAAACCCTAAACCCTATAGGAGTCTAGTGCTTGGGGCCTTCCGAAGCCTCGTTCTCCTCTCAGCAACGGCTCCCTAAACCGTGAAACCCCAAAGTTGGAGGAGTGGATATCATGGATTCGGGGTTTGTGTAGAGTTTGGGGCCTATTGGGATTTATAGGGTTTAGGGTTTAGGAGGAAGGGATACAGGGCCTATTGGAAGGAGGTGTTGACATCAAGGTCTAGGGCTTTGGAAGGTATGCGAGACGGCTGAATAAAGCAAGCCGAAGCCAGCTGCCGGCATTTGTTATATGTATGCTTGTACATATATATATATATACACGCACACACACCTATAGTATGTTCATCTAATGATACAGACATATGCATACATGTGCGAATGCATGTATATATATATATATATACATATACATATACAGATTGTAGATATGTCTATATGACGTACCAAAAAGTTCAGGGTCTAGTGTTCGAGGGACGGGAAATGGCCCGTCACATAGGTAACTGGGCTCACAAGGCAAGGAAGGGCCAAGATACTTGCACCTTCTGTTCGTTTCCAATTGGGCTCAAGGCGGCCTGTAGATACCAGGTAGAGTATGTTATGTACAACACCTGAAAATACACAAGCTCTTGTAGCCTTGAGGCTTGGCGGCTTAACAGTATGAAGGTCTGAAGGATTAGTGCTTTTCATCTATTCATGCTCTCCATGTGCTCAAACGAGTATATACATACCTCGAATCACCGTTCCTGACTTATGGCCTTCCAAGGTATGGTTTGAGCTGCACCGACTGTTTCGATTTTTCCGGCTCCAGGGCACAAAAGCTGGCGCGAGAGCTTTGGGCTCTGCGGGTCGATAAGAAAATCCTTGGCACAAGCTTCTCTCGAGGGTTTGGAGTATCGCTCTCAGTTTTGACCTGATCTGTTCATGAACTCCCTAGTAGCTGAGTGGGTAACCTTTAACCTTTCGGGGCTTATATCATCCTACTTTTGTTGAAAAGCTTCAACCTTTTTTGGGCCAGGGTACTCA